CCCCGAGAAAGTTGGATACTGGAGCAAGGTTGCTGAGCTTAAACTTTCGCTGCAGTTTGTGAACTAACGTAGAAGTAATGGAAGAGTCATTCCCAGTAAGTAGTATGTCATCCACATATATAAGTAGATAGAGATGTGAGTTGGCTTTAGTGTATAGAAAAAGAGAAGGATCGGCTAAGCTCTTTTTAAAACCAAATTCGGAAAGAAATTTGGTAAAAGTATCAAACCATTTGCGCAGAGCCTGTTTGAGACCATACAAAGCTTTCTTCAAACAGGAGACGTGTGTAGGGAGTTGAGCATCAATAAATCCCTGCGACTGTTTCAAGTAGACAGTCTCTTGTAAAGTTCCATTAAGGAACGCATTTGACACATCTAATTGAAGTATCGGCCAAGATTTGTTTACGGCAATTGTAAAAAGGATTTGAATAGTTGGAAACTTGGCTACGGGACTGGATGTATCAAAGTAGTCAAGGCCAAATTTCTGATTAAATCCTTGAGCCACAAGCCGGGCTTTGTACCGAGCAACTGAGCCATCAGTGTTAAATTTGGTGCGATATAGCCATTTACAACCGAGTACATTGTACTCGGGTAAGTGAGGAACTAATGTCCAAGTACCTTGAGTTTGCAAGGCATCAAATTCTGACGACATTGCCCGTCTCCATGGTTCATATTTGACAGCCTGAGAATAAGAGCTTGGCTGTGTCGGGATAATAGCAGTGTGAATATCAAATATCTTCTTTGGCTGAAGATGTCCCGTTTGAAATCTGGTAACCATTGAATGCTTAGTCTGGACAGGCTGAGGAGACGGCAGCTGAGGGGACTGTAAATGAATTGAAGTGGATGCTGGAGATTGAGCTGGAGAAGGGACAGGCAGAGAACTAGGTGCTGGTTGGATATTTGTAGGAGTAGTATTGATTTGAGTGAGAGGAGATGTTAGTTGTGTAGGTATGAGAAGAGACGGCGGTATATTGATTGAAGGAGTATCAGAGGTAATGGGCGTAGCGGATTTTTTATAAGGAAATATGAATTCAAAAAATTTGACATGTCGAGAAAGATGAATACGACCAGTGGTCGAATTGAAACACTTACAACCTTTTGTAGGCTCAGCATATCCCAGAAATATACAAGGTGCAGCCCGTGGCATGAATTTGTGATGAAGAGTAGTGGGAATCCAAGGATAACACAAACATCCGAAAACACGGAAGTGAGTATAGTCTGGTTTTTTAAGATGAAGAAGTTCATAGGGAGATTTATTTTTAGTATTAGGTGATGGCAATCTATTGATAGTGTGAGCTGCGGTAAGAAGTGC